ATATATATATATATATATATATATATATTCCTCCAGCATAGAATAACTGTCATTTCAGGAATTTTTTAATTACAGGCTGTAGTTCTGGGTAAAGACGACATGAACAACCAGCATGTAAGGACACACAATCCTTCAACAATATGCAGCAGGCTGTTATTGTAGAGGGAGATCTGAATGGACGACAGGAGAGCAGAAACTCACACATCTACACATACTTGATGGCAAAAAGGAGAGCATACTGCTCATCGTTGAGCAGCAGCTCATTGAGCTCTCTCTGTAGTTTGCATAAACACACGTCTCCTCTGTAAAGGAAACAGCTTTCCTGGAAAGGATGGATAAATACAGTCCTATTCTCCTTACGCCTAAAAAGCAGCTTCACCCATGATGGAGGAGGGGGTAGTTGGAGAGTATAGATGTAGATATCAAACAAAGCCTGGCGGCTGAGAGGAGAAATGTCGCCACAGAGAGCCCTCCTCCTGCAGCCAGCCGGTGATAAATAACCTCCTGAGTGACAGAAACCGCTGCTGTCCTGCAGACGAAGACATTTTCATGTTGATTGGTGGACATGACATCATTAGTTGTAATCTAAGCGACACCAGGAGGATTGCCTGCCTCACCTGTCTGCTGCAGACAGGTGAGGCAGGATGCATGATGAAACAAAGTCCAATCAGGTTTCCCACAGATGCTGTATGACACGGCAGTAATAAACTAAACTCTTTACTTAATGATACAAACACATTGTCTGGAACCTGAAAAGGGAGAAATATGAAACGTTTTTCAAATCTGATGCCGGCAGCAAGTTTTGAAAAAGTTTGGACAGGCAGGTGTTTACCACTGCGTTGCATCAGCAGCTCAGGTGAAGCTCAGAGAGCAGAACCTCTGCCGTCCTTTTAGCCCTGAAAAGGTTTCCTCATGTCTGCTTGATGCCCTGCTTTCTAAAAAAACAGCAAATACCTGATGAATAATTTAGAAACAAAATTTTAGGAGGAAAATGAAGGTGTGACGATTCATTGTTGATCACAAATAAACTGTAGGATCAGAGTAATCACTGTTTTCTTTCTCTACTTTTGTTTCCAACAGGAATTAAGTTTATTTCTTTATAGGTTTACTTTCATACGGAGAGGTTATCCCGTTTCATGCCTGTTTGGCTGCAAATCAGGGAAAACCCCCCGACCAAAGAGCAGAGCTTAAATGAATGACTGGAAAACATTTAGAACCTCAACATCGTGACAGGATGCGAATGCAGCCTACCCTGAACCAAAGGCAAAGGGACAGTTTGCTCTGAACCAGAGATCCCTGCAGGTGGGACCGGATTTCAGAGCACCTGTTGAGAACCACTGAAGTCTAAATCTTTTTTATCACAATATAATATACAGAAAATCCAGTAATTAGTCATTCAGAGCTGATTCTTGCAGAAAAAATACATTTTATTTTTTATAGATGCTGCAAATTTCAGAACCTGCAGATAACTTTATTTTAATCAGCATCATCTTCATCACCCAAGGACACTTAAGCTGCAGAGAACTCCTTTTTCTAATTAATTCCCTCCCACAGGTAGAAAAATTCCACCTTTAGATTCAACAGAGATTATTTAGGACGATTAAACACTCAGTCAGCAGCCGCTTATGTTTTTACCTGAGCTCGGCCATTTTTTATCTCTAACAAGTTTAAAAGTCCTTCCTGGAGACACTCATCCATCACAGCTTCATCACCGAACTGCTGCAGGATGACGCCACCTGGAGCAGGAATCTGCCAGGCTTCAGAAATGAGTCTGGATCAGTCAGAGAGTTAGAGATTTAATGCAGATGCAGATTTCCTCCGTCAGCCTCCTACGCTGCAAAGGCGGCAGTGTGAACGTTCAGAGGCTGTTATGGAGAGCGATCCAGACCCTCTGTCACTTACAGCCTCCTTCCTACTGATCGATGTAACTAAAGCCCAACAATCCTCACTCACACATCTCTAATGAAAGGTGTATTTGAACTTCCTGGATGCTACCTGGAGGAGTCCCTGCTGGTCTATCACAAGAGGCAGGACACAATTAGGTTGCTAACACAGGCAGCTATCCCAGAAACTGCTTTGGTAGACAGGCAGACATTCTTAGACTACCCTGAACCTTCATGGAGGAGCTTAGCTGTGGGAGAGAGCTGAGCAGCTCTGATTGGTTAATAATCCCGACTTTCTGTCTCTTGGCTTTACTAACTTCTCAAGCATTATTGATGCTAAACTCAGTTATTCGTGAGCAGCAAAGAAGGTTGATTCTGATGACAAAAAAAGCTAAAGTTGAGGAAAACAGGGGACACCTGAACCCACCATCCATTCGCCAGGTGAGAAACATGATGTCAGAGACTCCCGCATTAAGAACCTCTGTTCTATTCTCTTTTGTTACCTGTGGCTCTGTTGGAGTTTCAGCCGCTCATCACCAAAGGTTTTCTGTCACAATCTGCAGGCAGAGGGAATCGATTTAAAGCTGAAGGACGGTTTTATAACTTCCAAGCCGAAATATGACACCACAACACATCTGCAGGCAGAGTAGAGGAGACCCCAATGGGGCTGAATGCTCTGATGCCAACCTGAAACGCAGGTTCTGATCGGGTGCTGAGGTGATTATGAAGTGAAAGGTTGCATTCTCTGGGAGTTCATAGGAGAGTTGGCCCAAATGCAACGACTGAGTCATGTGAACAATCAGCAGCTTCAATTGCTTCTTCATGTTTTATTCCACATCATCCAAACTGTTTGATGATCTTTAGAAGTTTGCTGCTTCTTCCTCCACTGCCTTAAAGCCGGAGCGTCCCTGCATCCATCTCATTCATTATCTTCTTCTGTTTGTTAAATGAAGAACAGAAACTCAGGATGAGACGGCTTCTTTCTGTCTGAATGGGAGTCAAACCTCACATCTCTGCCTCATGCTGCTATTCATACAAAGCAACTCACAGCGACAGGAAATCAATAAAAACTCTTGGATTGTTAGTCAAACAGGATCTGCTGGGCCCGGCGGGGTGTCTAAGCTGTGCAGAGCGTTCAGACGCTGAGCGCTGGTGGAGGTCCAGTTCGTGTCTGCGGGAGGTAAGAGCTGATATCAAACTCTTAAACATTAAACCTCATTCATATATGCATTATATTCTAAGAAATACTTCTTTAAATGTGCAGAAAACAGAAGTCTTTCAGACTTTGCACCTCGACTTCACCTTGCAAAGGTTAAAGGAAATTAAAGAAAGTTAAAGGAAATTGATAGGGGAGTGTTAGCCTAGTGGGTTACAGCAGTGCGCTTGTGCTCTGAGAAGGTTGCAAGTACCTGGTTTGATCACTACAGCCTCCAGTCTGGGTTCCTGAGCATGACCCTAAACCCCACACTGCTCCCCGGGCATTGCACAATGGCAGCCCACTGCTCCCCAAGGGGATGGGTTAAATGCAGAGAGTGGATTTCACCATTGTGGGACAATAAAGGGATCTACATTACAAAAATTACAACTATGAATATTCATT